AGGATTATTTTAAATTATTATACTTGTATAATTATATCGGAATATATATATTACAGGGTGTGTGTAGAATTTCCGATTGCCTTTTTTTATATTTATATTGCAGGACACACAATAAACTTCTTTCGCATTCTCTCTTTCCTTTCCCTTCACTATCTATCTCTCTCTATTTTTTTTTATCACGCACACGCACACAAAACACGCATACACATACGCACGCGCAATCGTTTTTCCATCGACTTTTGCATCTCGTCCAGTATTCAAAATCGCTTCTAACTATCACGCGAAATCTTCTTTCTTTCCAATCGACTTCGGGAAACCGATTTAGACTTGTTATTCTATCTTTAATCGCAGACAAATTTTGCGCAGATTTCGGACGATCCTCTCGCAAAAATAATCCGCTCGTTGGTCAGCGGCCGGAGAAAATTCGCGTAACGAATTCGCTTCGTATTCGTGGAGGACCGTTATAAGGCACTTTTACCTGCACTACGAAATTGTATCGTTAGATGAACATGACGCGTGTACGCTAATAAATATATCAGTATTTCTCGAAACTCACTATTACTATTCGCTAAACGCAAAAATACGCGACTCGATACACAGGCTCCGTGACGAGAATTCGCTAAAAGGCATTTAAGTGCAAGGGCACTTGCTTGAATTTATTCGCTAATTGCGCGTTTATTTATCTTTCCTCGCAAACACTTGTAAAACATTTTTTTTTTCCCTACGTCGTTTTGAGCGTCGATTGGATTTGCGAGGGGAGAACTCATCCGAAAATGCGTCTCCGTCAGTCTAGAATCGGAATTTCCAAAGCCGATAAGTGTGATAGCACGCGCGCGCGCGATACCTCTCGTGGTAGGAAGTCTCGTTCCGCCGAGCGGACGCAATCGCAGCACAGGTCGCATCTTCTCGAAGCTCGAAAAACTCCTCAAAAATCCTTCCCTTTTCGCGGAAGTCAGTGCAATAGAGTGTCAATCGCGTCGTGTGTATTTTCCGCGGCGTCGCACGCATCCAGAGCGGCGACCATCGTCGCCTTCCAAGTTAGCGGATAATTACTGGAAGAGAGAGATAAAAAAGACGTTTTTTTCCATTTTTTCTTTTTCTTTAAGTTAATTAATTAATTAGTTAGTGGGTTAATCTACTCGAATACTGAGATAGTGACTTTTCGTTTATTATTCTCGCGCAAGTAACACGTAAGCAATCTATATAAAGTCAGGAACGATAATACGAGAGGAATTATGAATTTGATTTTCTCCTTTTTCTTCTTCTTTTCATTTTTTTTTTTTCGTATTTAAATTTATGCTCACTGGGTCGAGAAGGTGACGTATCGTCGCCCATCGGATCGGTCGACGAGATCAGCGTCTCCAACAATCACAAAGTGATTACGTTTACACGAACATCCTTATCAATCGGGTTTAATAATATTCATAGTTATGAAATTTGCCAATCGTAGCGATTCCTCTGAAAAATGGAGTGACTGTGATCGGTCAGTTTCTAATTACGGATATTATCAAATCCGATTAAGGGTATCCGTGTAAACGTAGTCAATGACTCAAAGCGTCGAATACCTCTCACTTCCTTTGGAATTTGTTCTTAAATTAAAGAGGATAGACTTTCGTCGACCCTCAGCCTTGATGCCTGCGCTCCGTTTATCTTATAGCATATCATTATTAATATTACCTTTTGTGTCATTAAAGTATTAATATGAATATTATCAATATCTTCAGTATTATATTATCGGTACTCTATTATGATTATTATTATTAGCATTATTAATATATTATTGTTCTTCTTATTATTATTTTTGTTATGTATTAACTGTTAATTATTAAGTTATTATTAGTACTGTTATTGTTGTTGCTGTTGTTATTTTGTTATTATTGGTAATATTTGTAGTAATATTATATATTACCATTATAATCATTAATAATATTAATATTATTGTTATTATTATTATTATTATTATCATTGTTGTTGCCGTTATTATTATTAATATTACCACCATCATTATTATTAATATTATTATTACTGTTATTACTAATATTATTGTTGTCATTATTATTTTTATCATCATTTTTATCACCACCGTCATTATCTTTTTTTCATTTTTTATACATTACGATCGGTGCAATAGTCGTAAACGCACTCCTTGAGCTTATTAAAGGCTTTTTTTTTCTTTATCGAGACTTGTACGCACTTATAGCTTTTTCCTTCGAAAGGAATTAAGTAGAAAAAAGAAGTAATAGTAGTATAATAGTAGAAGATGAAGAAGTAGAGGAATTCGAAGAAATGTTCCTTAACAGTGCTAGAAATACGCTTGCTTAAAGTCATTCGTAAACCATGGACGCAAGTATAGTTCTTCTTTTTTCTAGCTGAACGGCGGAATGTCTCTAGTCATATTTGTCCATTGAAGGAACGATTTTGCTGAGGTATCTAACAAATTTAGCCAGATGTAAATCTGAAAACAATTTTGTGGATCAAAATAATTAAGTAGAAAACTCGAGCGTGATGAACAATGCTGCAAACATTCCAGCAACTAGCTTGAAGATTTTACATAATCCCATACAGCACAGATTATTCCAGCAATATTACAGCAATGTATTGCTGCAAGCTGCCGTGCTATATGGAATTATTTTCATAGTCTGATAAAATTACTTTCAGATCTGTATTTAGCTAAATTTTTAGATACTCCAGCAAAACCGTTCTTCTCGTGTAATTTTTCCTCTCAACACACATACATACTTTTTAATTAATCCTTTCTCGCACGTGCATACTTCATTGCATACCCACGCTCTAACAATTTGGAAAAAAAAAAAAAAAAAAAGATCAGTCAAAATCGTACCGAGGAAATGGACAATTCGGCAACTCGATTCTAATTTTCTACTTCCGAACTCTTTCGCGGTTAGATTACACCTTCGTATCGTTCTCTTCTTCATCACGAATTTTTCTATGATCCATTAATCACACCGTTCTTCATCCATCGCAATTTACTTTACATCGTCGATCGAATAAATACAATATTATGTTATCGCGTTGTTCACACCACATTCGCCATTATTGTTTCATTACTTAAGCTTTACTTTGATAATAATTTAGTAATAGTACGACGATACCTTAATAAGGCCCAGTAAGGCTGCGTGGGTCGAACGTGACATTCCCACGAAAAAAATTTCATTTATATCTTTAAGTTTTTTTTTTTTCTTTAATCGCGCGCGTCGCTTTGGAACAATAAATCACATAGATACATCTCATCTTGAGATGCATTCAATGAACTGGTTTGGAAAGAAAATATGTGCCACCATCCGAAAATTGTCGTCTCATATTCAAGGCATCTTTCTCTCATTTATTGTCGCATTATTGTTTTCCCGCAATTACGATCATCATGCACATTTTTCACTTTTTCTCTTCTCATAATTTCCAGTTCCTAAATCATTTTCTAATTCTCGACGATTTTGCCATTAGAAACTATCTAAAACTTAGGTCCGTTTTCACAATATACGATTATCTAAAGATTAAAGAGATTACTGAGATTCATCAATGAAATTCATTTATGAATTTTTTGGTAACTTTTAGGTAACCATATATTGTAAAAATAGAGTAAACTCAGAGTGAATTGTCACTCTTAAAAATTGAGCCACTCTTTTTCAAGAGCTGGATCAATTTTCACTTTTTAGAGATTTCACTCCAAAGAATTTATAGAGCAGCTCGCAATTAGACACATTTTCGGCGTACGCATTTCAGTGGACTTTCGCAAGTTGATTCCCAGCAGCAACAATACAATTTATTTTTTCATTCAGATTAAGGAAAATTGCAAAATGTTCTTAACATTACGGCACGAGATCGGGCGCGCGAGTGTAAGAACCCCTCTTTTCGATCGCGCGCACCGAATATTGTCATATATTTTTGCATTTTACGAATTACATCAAATTGTCGGTGTTTGTAAAAATCGTCGAAATATACGCACGCTCGCAGCACCTCGTAACCGATCATAGTCCTAGGGCCAAACCTTACGCTTAGTAATATAATTAATAATAATATTATAACTTTTCTCTTTAGCTTTTTTTTAACTTTGAGTACTCATTTCGCCCATCTCTCGTTTCCAATCCCCGACCCCGGCACACTGGATTTACGTGTATTTATGCGTTATTATATAGGTGTGTCGGTGTATATGGCTGCGTATGCGTGCGTGCGTACGTGTGTATTATATATTTATAATATATATATATATATATATATGTATATTTTTAGACTTTTAAA